GCAAATAAAAGCTTAAGATAAATAGGAATATGAATTTTAAAAAACCTAACACTACTTTGCTAATAGTAAAGATATATTATTGTGAAATAAATATAATGAAATAATCAAATTCTTTCTTATAAAATTGTTATTAAAAATTGAAATTTTTACTTTTATGTGTACTAAATCTAAGACCTAAAGGAAAGGATAGCTGTGATATAGAAAAGTTAAAATATTAAGGCGTCAGGTTTTTCCAAATTAGTTTTATAATTGCTAATTTAGTTCCAAAAAAAAATCTCAAAACAGTGTTCTTTTAAAAGAAGTGTAGATACCTATGTTGCAAGGCACAGAATGTGTATACAAACTTCAGAAGGAAAAAAAATTAGGACATTAATTGTACATTTTTTTTATTAAGATTGGTAAAAATTGTCAGTAGTGCTAATTCTCAGTGCTTACTAGGTTTGAGAAAATAGACACATACACATTACTAGTAATGGAATGTCAATTGCTCAAAGTCATTTTCTTTTTTTTTTTTATTATTATTATTACTGATAGCAACTGGCAGTTTCCAATTGGAGAGAATAGGGTTTAATGAATACAGAATTTTAGTTTTTAAGATGAAAATGTTACATGTAGGTGGTGGTAATTGTTGTATAACGTATCGTAGACAATTAAAATGGTTAAGATAGTAATATTTTTTATTATTTATATTTTACCACAAGTTTAGAAAAATGAGTAAACAACTTTAATTTACAGCACACAGAAACAATAAACCCTGAGAGTGAGAAGAATCTGATTTCTAAAGTTACCAAATGATAAACTGCAAAATGTTTAGTTTTTTTTTTACTGTAAAATTAAATTTATTTAAGAAAATATACACAATTCCATCTTGTTATATAAAATAAAAATTTCTTGTGTTTTGAGGCGCAGGAGAAGGAAAGAGTTATCTTTTCACCAAATCTTATATGAGCTCACTTCCCATTGCTTTGGTTTCATTTGAATCTTTTTTGAGGCTTTTTTTTTTTTAGAAGTTCTTTTTTGTTTGATTTCTTAAATTTATATATGACAGTGGAATGCATTACAATTCCCAAAGTCATCTTCTAAAGAGCATCTAAATGGTATCTATGAAATTTTTATGTGTGTAATATTCTGAGTAATTTGATTTTTTTTTTTTTTACACATATTCTTGTAGACATGTACCCACTAAAAAATAAACAAATTTGCTGGGCTCATTTCACAAAAAGTTAAACAATCTTCTTATCATTTTAAAGTAGTAATGTATACCAGACTCTGCAGTGACCAGAAGTGCAAATGATAGAAGTGACTATTAAATTCTTTGACAGAACATTTCTCAATAATCCCTATCTATTGGGAGTAAGAAAACATTCTTGGGAACATAAGTCTTAAAATGCTGTAATGTCACTGCCCACATTACCCAGAGTACAGAAGTCCCCTCCTAGATATTTAGTCCTCCAAATCAGTAAGGAACCCCCAGTATTCTGACTTTTTGATACCTTCAATTTGGTTTGCTAGTATTTGTACTTTGTAAGAATGGATGATGCATAAAAAGTGAATATTTTTGTGCCTTTTCAGAGCAACATTCTGTGAGATTTATCTATAATTTATATGTAGATATGATTCTCTTTAGTTTATAATACTGTTATGTAAAAATTCTATAATGGATTTAACCACTGTGAAGATGTTTAACATCTACTATTTATGCTCATGAGCATTTTCAATGTCAACAGACATTCTCACATTCATGCATATATTCTAGTTAGATACACACATAAGAAATGAGTTTTAATAGGATGTTAGTAGAGTACTGAGGTTAAAGTTTTAAAAATAGACATGACATAGTACACTTTTTTTTGAGAATCAAGATATTTCTGCATTTGCTGATATTTTAAAAACAAAGAGTTGGCAGCCTTTTTAATGTAGTACTCCATTGCTACATAGAAATTTTTGAATACTATTTTTTGCTTTTCCATTCTTGAACTCAGAAGTTTTTCTGTTTTGAGTTTCTGTTTACATCAAATGAAACTGAGAAGCTTGACTTGCTTCAAATAATAATTTGTCCTCAATTTCTTCATCTTATTTAATAATATTGGTTATTAGTTTACATTGTTAAAAACAGTAGTGTTAAAGGGCATCCTGGTCTTAATTCTGACTTTTTTTTTGGAAATAATATGTAGTGCTTACCCCTTAAGATTAACACGTGGCATTCTTTTTTAAAATGATAGGATTATTTCTTTGTGTGAGCCCATAGACACTGTTGTAGCAAATGTGGGCTAAATGTGAGATTCTATTTATATATGTATACACACATACTCATATTTTTACTGTATTAAGAACACATTATTTAGCCATAGAGTGATTGTTTTGTTTGTTTGTCAAAAATAAGTGTTGAATTCCAGCTTTTCATCATGTATTGAGAATGTCATGAGGTTTCCTCTCTGAATATGGTCTATTGGCTTCTTCCTTCTCTTACTGAAAAATGTTACTTTATCAAGATCTATGTTCTTGCTTTAAATAATGGTTGACATTTGCAAGCACTTGGCTTGGGTTTGATAAATAATAAGTTTGGGATTGATATGAATAAATTTGATGTTTTGCTTTTTAATGATAATTGGTTTTATAGAAGAAATTGTGAGCACTCTTAATATTAGCATATTGGAATAGTCTAAAATAATTCTGAATTTTTTTAAAATTTATTTATTTATTTTGATGCTCTAGGATTTCTTATAGATTTTAAAATGACCTGTTCCTGGGAACTGAACAGCAGCAACAAAAAATTCCCAGGAAACCATTTAGGCTTGAAGTTGTTTGAAAGGGTAACATAGTGTAATTTTCTCAAAATAGTTTTTACTAGGATTGGTGAAGTCTTCTCTCTTTGATTTAATACTAGTAATTTAATGTTTCCAAATAGATCTGTTAAATTAATTTTTTTTACCCTATACTGGCATAGATTATACATTCTATTACAAGTAGTTTCATTTTTTTAAATAATTATGATTTTTTGTTTGTTTGTTTCAGAATTCATATTTGTATTGTTCAGTTTTTCTCCTTTGGCTAGTTGACTAGGTTTTAGATTTTTTTCCTCTCTTCTTAATACCTTATCCACTAAAGGGCAAGGTTTTTTTTTTGGCTTCTTAATTTAACAAGTTACTTGAATCCTTAGCTTTGCTCCCTGTATGTATTAGTGACTGCAGAATAAATGCTTACAGTTATTCATCTTAGCTTTGCACCATAATTTCCTCATGTGCCAAATTCTGTTATAAGTTAGGCAAGGTGGTATATGCTTATAGTTCCAGCTGTTCAGGAGGTTGATTAGTTCAAGACCATCCTGGGCAACATAATAATATTCTCTCATAAAAAAAGAGAAATTCTGTTAGCAATAGTTTTAAGTAGCTTAAGTGTATATTTTTTCCTAGCATATAGGATAAATTTGTGTTTGAAGGATTGGAAAGTAATAACGTTAATTGAGGAAGCCAGAATCCAAACAAGTGATTTTACATAAAATTTTAAAAAGCATATACTTTTCAAAAACTAATGTGGCAAAGAAGTAGTTTATTGTAGTGTGCCCAGGAGATAGTATGGAACAGATCAAGAGCTATAAAATTGTAAATTTAAAATATATTATTTTCTTGTTTTCCAAAAGAAAATATATAATTATACTTTTAACTTAGAATTATGTTTTTGCTATTTTGAAAAGCAGAGGTCGCCTACCTTTCACCTAAGAACTAGGGATTGAACTCAGGGCTACATTTCTAGCCCTTTTATTTTTGTTTTGAGACATGGTCACCCTGAGTCCCAAGTAGTAGAATTATAGGAGTCTATCACCATGCCCAGTAATGATGGAAGAATAATTTAATGTATTTCTTAGATTTTCTCTATGCCTTATTTTTCTTAGAACTGCAAATTCTTCAACTATGACTTCTTTGCAGGAAGCTGATGATTTTAATTTCTGTTCTCTGTAGTCATGAATTTTATAATTTGAGGAGGGAAGTGATTTTGAGATGATGTTCTATGCACTATTATCAGCAAAAATAATAAAGGTTAATAAAACTACATATAGTAGCACAGTTAAAAGTGAATTAGGAAATAAGAGCTAAGAAAATCAATAAGGAGGGTTGTGTGTGTGCTGTACTTAAAAAAAAGGTAAAAGAAATTATAGATCACTTCAAAGGAAGTATGCAGGTTCTTTGTCATTATTTTTATTTACTTTTTTTTTTTCTGAGCCTAAACCAAGTTTGGAAAATGGCATTATAAAGTTCTTTAATTTCATTTGTTAAGTTCATATATTTTACAAAAGCAGAACTTTGTTTTGAGCACTTTTTTTTGTAGATAAGCCTCTTGAGCTTATTATGCTCAAATGTGAATTCATTTTTACTACCTTATAGCTGGTACCATTTCAAATTTAACCTTAAAAATAAATTACAAAAATACAATAATACATGTTCACACATATATATACATCTGTAATCAGCAGGTCATTTTAAGAGACATCATTGGCTACAAAGATCTCAAATATTTATAATTAATGGGAAGTTTAAATATCCGTTTTATAATTTAGTGATCACAAGATTGGAGATTCTATTACATTTCAACATGTAATGAAGTTTTATAGCAATTACTTCAATAGTCATAAAATGTGATGATTCTTAATCCTTGGGTTGCTGCAGGCAACAGGGCCTCTGTGTGTGTGTGTGTGTGTGTGTATGTAAGAAATGTTCTGTATATTCTCAGTAATTTATGTAAGAACTCATTAAACTTAAGTTTTGTATATTTTATGTAAGATCACAATTAAAATAAATTTTGAAAACCCAAAACACTCTCACCTTTTTCAGCTGCCCTTGTTCTATAGTTGGTGTATATATCACTGGAATGTTTTGTGCCTTTTTCATTTGTCTTGATAGATAAATCAAATAATTTGGACATTTCTAAATGTAAATACCATGTGATACAAAAAATATGTGATACAAAAATTAATGTTGGGTATATTTTGTTCCCTGGTTTAGGAGCTGGGACTAATGAGCATTAAAGGCCATGGATGAAGATGAATTTGAATTGCAACCCCAAGAACCAAACTCATTTTTTGATGGAATAGGTATAATTATTGGGTTGTTCTATTTCTCATCTCCCAGGTTTAGAGTTATTTGTCATGAAGGTGAATTCCCAAATAATCTGATACTGATTCATACTCTCATACCCTGTAATCCTTCCCAAGTCTCATACCACCTCGGTTTTGTTATGCTGTCTGTATTAAAATATTATTGTTAACTTCAGTTTTTTTCTAATTTTCCCAGTTGTTCTAGGTACTGTTAAAAAGTGTTCTAAGTTTGTTAATTTTATTTCCTTAGTAAGTAGTATGTTTTTTACAGTTTCGCTAAACTAAAACAAAGCAAATATGTATATATATCAGAATTCTGCATAGTAGAAGTATACTTTGGACCAAATTAATTTTTGTCATAAGGGAGAGATATCTATTTCTTCCTCCATACAGTGTATCAGCCAGGATAAGTTTTTGCTTTTAAAGGCTGTCCTTATTCCTTCTTGTACTCTGTGTGTGGCTCACTTAAGCAATAGTGATTATATTTTCTTTTACACTTTGAATCTTTCTGGTCTGTCCATATATCACATCACCTTAATTCCAGCCAGAAAACTGTGCATATGATTAGATTGGAGCCATTAAAATAATCTCCCAATCTTAGGTTCATGTCCTTAGTCATATCTGCAGAATTTCTTTTACCATATCACATACCATATACAGTATCTAGGACTGGGATATGGACATATTTTGGGGACTGTTCTATTTGTTGTTTTCTTTCTACTCATCAAACTTTTGTGTTCTTCCCAGATGTTAAATACATTGACCTTTTTCCAGGGTTCCCATTTTGAAAATAGAATCCAAAATAAGATAACTGCATAAGTATCAAATAACATCAAAACCAACATCAGTTATTAAGTAAAACATATAGGATGCAGTTCCACTTCATTTGTTGACCTATAGAACTAAAGTTTTATAAAGAACTATTTCCGACATACAGTGATAAGACAGATTAGGATGTTTGAGGCAAACTGGATGAAATGGAAGGTAAAATGCGAGTCATCAGCATAAAGAAATTTTGAAATCTGCCTTATCACCTTCTGTATTTCTAGGCCTGATAATAGTTTTTTATAAACTGTGGCTCCTTCTGAATCTGACTTATTTTTTTCATCAAATATAGCAGGCACTTGTAGTCAAATAATTTTTCCGCACTGTTTTCTGTCCCTGAAATTTTGGGAATCCTGTAGTCTTTATACTGTACTTTCTCTATTCCTTTCAATAGTAGGTAGCAGTATTGCTGTTGGAATAAAATGTTCTTGTGTGTCATGGATATTTTTTGCTTTAAGAGGCTTATCTACAATGCTTTTTAAATTAGTTTCATTTCTGTATAAAAACATCTTTTTTCTAAAAACACATCTTAATATGAAATTTCTCTCTTTACCTCTCCCATCTGTATAAGCTGAGAGAATTGCCCAAATTGTTGAGTTCTGTTGACTTTATTTAATGGCGCTCTCCACAATTAATATTTCTTTTTGAATTTTATTATAAACAGCAAGAAGAAACAAGGCCACATCTTCAACATTTTGCTGAAATTTCCTGAGTTAAATATCTGAGTTTATTGTTTAAAATTATACTTGACATAAAATTATAGGACAAAATTTTGCTCTAAGGTCTGCCATTACAGAATACAGATCTTTGTACTTCTTTCTGTGCTCTTTAGTAAGCTGGTTCTCCCTTCCTTTTGAGACCTTATAAACAGTTTTTCAAAGACTAGATTTCTGCTCTGTGTATACAGGGAAATATAGTATACACAGATTCTGAGTTCCTATAGGATTTCTGTACTTTGATCCATTCTTCTAGATTCTATTGGTTGTTAGCATTCATGTTCAAAAGAATGAAGCTTGTGTGTGTGTGTGTGTGTGTGTGTGTGATGTTTATTTTAAATATTTATTTTTCAATTGTACTTGGACACAGTACCTTCATTTTATTTATTTATTTATTATTTATTTATTTGTAGTGCTGAGGATGGCATCAAGGGCCTTGCACATGCTAGGTGAGCGCTCTGCCACTGAGCCACAAACAATCCCAGCCCCAACAAACATAGTCATTTGATACACAGTATTAACTTTCTTATAGTTTCTGTAGGTCAGAATTCCATGAAAGCCTGCTGGATCATCTACTTTTTTTTTTATGGGACTGAAATCCAGTGTCAGCATAGTCAGGTTCCTTTCAAGTTCTCTGAGGATGAATTTCCAACTAATTTTGGTTGTTGACTGAATGCATTTTCTTATGATAGCTGTCAGTTGAAAAGCAGGTCTTTGATTCTTGTGTCTGCCTGTGTTTCTTAATGATTTCCTTATTGCAACTTCAGCAATAGCAAATGTGTTTCTTCCCATACTTAGAAATCCCTCTGACTTACTCTTCTCCTTAAGTTTTCTGATTCCACTTGTGTAAAGTTCTCTGCTTTTAAAAGCAACTTATTTTATCAGATTGGGCTCAAATTATCCAGAATAGTCAATTTTAGTTTATGAACTGAACTACACTGGTAGTCTATGAGATCTGAGTCACAACTGTGATGTTTAAAGTAGGATTTAGTGCTATATTGTGAACAATTTTTGTAGGAGGAAGTCAGGTTGATTTGGTGGAGTAATGAGAAAAATCTACTATTCACACCACCTTTTCTTTATGCCAGTTAACCAGTTGCTACAACATAGCCCAGGCTTTACTTTTTCACTCTTCATCTGTAATGTTGGGACTATTTTCTTTACTCTTGGTTTTGGTTTTGGATCATATCATTTCTTTCTTCTTTGTTGCCAGTAGATAATTTTTGATCCTTTGTTTTTAATTGTTCCTACTTCTACAATTTTTGAGTTTTATATATTCCCAAAAGGAGACTACACACTATGTAGATGGACTTTTTCTGACTTTCCCCAAATGTGTTCATAGTTTCAGATTAACAAGCATTCTGAATATGTAACATTTAAATTGTTGCATACTAGATTAAATTGTTGCATACTAGATTTTATTGTTCGTACTTTGTGGTTTTAATGATTTTATTAATTGAATCATAAGTGGTCCATGTTTGTATATTAAAACAGTACTACTTTACCAAGAAACCTAGGGATTTTTAATATACTTTCTATATTCTCTGTATGTGTGCTTCTTAAAAAATTTGGCATAATCTTTTAATTTACATTTGATAATTCAGTTTGGTAAAGGTTATGATTATTTCTTTAAAATATACAGCAGAATTTCTTTTACCATATCACATACCATATACAGTATCTAGGACTAGAATATGGACATATTTTGAGGACTATTCTATTTGTTGTTTTCTTTTTACTCATCAAACATTTGTGTGTTCTTCCCACATGTTAAATACATTGACTTTTAATTTTCCTAAAAAAGAGACTATGTTCTTTAGAGAAAAACCTCATGGTTAATTTGATAGCTTAGTTTTTCCCCATGCAGACCTGGGACTTGGACTAAGAGGTAGGGTTTAAAGGACTATGCAATTTTTAGTCCAGGTGGTTAACACTTAGACTATTTGTTTATTTTTGAGTGTGGCGCTTAATATATCAAAACTTACGTTTTTAATTTCATAATAATGATTAAAAAACTCATTACAGTTTTCAGGACACCTCTATACATTCCCGTTTAATTTAATTATGACCACAGTACTATGAGATGCATGGCAGGTACTATTGTCCTCATTTTTTTAATGAGGAAACTAAAACTTAGACTTGCTCTCATCACAAAACTTAGTTTTATAACCCTATCCTCTGATTTAGACTGTTGCTAGTATACTTACTTGCCACTTAATGCTTTCACATTTGTATCTACAGAATGGAGATAACGTTGATCTGTTGCTTCATACCATTATAAAACATTTTGTAAAAATTTTATAGAAATAAAAGCAAACTTTTTTCATTATTGTAATATATATATAATTTAAGTGTACATTAACTAACTTTGAAAACTTCATATAACCTATTGGGTTTTGGACATATTGATCTTTGATCTATGAGTCAGGGCAGCAATCAGATGGTAGAAGCTTTGTGTTTCTTGGATGCCATTGCTTTTGACAGAATTTCTCATTTAGGCCCTTGCTTGGACTCAGTCCTAATCTGAGTTAAAACCCAAAGTGCCAATCATCTGAGTATTTCACATGCAAGTCTCCTATGTTTGCCTTTCTCTGGACTAGGAGCCATAATACCCAAGTATTTTGTATTGTATTTTTTATAATTATTGTTACATTATTTGGTAAAGATATGACTTCTTTTCTACTTGTGGAATTTATAAAGAATAATATTTATTGAGCTGCATATGCTATGCAAATTTTGTGATCATGGTTAAGTCATTTGATCTTTGTGGGCTTTCAATGGCTTGCTCTTCTACCTTTTTAACTACAGAATGGACATAAGGATTTCATCTTCTGAGGAACTACTCTGAGATTTTTGGTCTGGGATATAGGAGAATAGGCAAGATGGAAACAGTTAACTGATGAAATTAGGGTAGGCCCCATCCCAGCTATCCTCACCTCTACTACCTCTAGGCAGCTGCACTTGTGTTCATTTATTTGTCCAACCAGTTTTATTCTCAGTTGTCTCTCTTGCTTAGTGATCTATCTCACTTTTCACTCCTACTGTGATTGTTTTGTAAAGCTTAGATTCAAAGTGTTATTTATTTATTTTTTTTTAAATATTATTTTAGTTGTAGATGGACACAATACCTTTATTTTATTTATTTTCATATGGTGCTGAGGATTGAACCCAGTGCCTCATACTTACAAGGCAAGTGCTGTGCCAGTGAGCCACAATCCCAGCCCTCAAAGTGTTATTTTGTCGTTGCCAAATAGATACTGATAGTATGTTGTAGAAGAACAAACTGGAGAAATTGTGGAATAGAAGAAATAAGAGAAAAGTAAACAAAAAAAATGTGTGTGTGTGTAAAAAGAAGAAAATTTATATGTTGAGAAAAGAAGCAGTGGAAGTAAAACATAATGAAGAAAAGTGGTGTATTTATTTTTTGATTTGTACTACTTTATATATTATAGTCATCTCTTAAAAGATTTTGGTTTAGTGGCATGGGGAATTTCTCATGTTTATATTCTAAAAAAAATGTTGGATTAATTTTTACTCATTATATGAGTTAGAAATAGATCCCTTCTTAATTTCTTTAGTTTATTTTAGTGTTTGAGGAACACAGAGAAAGTAGACTGTTTTCTAGTAAAAATTATTTGACTTTTAATCTTACCTACTCACCTGAAATTTATTGTCTTAATTTTTATTCTTAAGGAACTGATTCTACACACATGGATGGTGATCAAATTGTTGTGGAAGTACAAGAAACTGTTTTTGTTTCTAATTCAGACATAACTGTGCATAACTTTGTTCCCGATGTACAAGACTCTGTTGTAATTCAAGATGTCATTGAAGATGTTGTTATAGAGGATGTTCAGTGCTCAGATATTTTAGAGGAAGCTGATGTATCTGACAGTGTCATCATTCCTGAGCAAGTACTTGATTCAGATGTAACCGGAGAAGTTTCTTTAGCACATTGCACAGTTCCAAATGATGTTTTACCATCTGACATTACTTCAACCTCAATGTCCATGCCAGAACACGTCTTGACAAGTGAATCTATACACATGTCCAATGTTGGACACGTTGAACATGTGGTTCATGATAGTGAGGTGGAAGCAGAAATTGTCACTGATCCTCTGACGACTAACTTAGTTTCAGAAGTATTAGTAGCAGATTGTGCCTCTGAAGCAGTCATAGATGCCAATGGAATTCCTGTGGACCACCAGGATGATGACAAAAGCAACTGTGAGGATTACCTTATGATTTCCTGTAAGTCTTGGTGTATGCTGACTATCAGAGGTGTTTTCGTTTCTGGTACTAAGGATTGAATCCTGGGCCTCACATGCTAGGCAAGCACTGAACTATATCCCCATCCCTTTTTGACATAGAATCTCGCTAAGTTTCCTTTTGATCATCCTGCCTCAAGTTTGTGAGCAGCTGAGGTAATGAGTGTGCACCACCAAGCCCAGATTCAAAGGTGTTTTTAAAAGGCTGCAAAGGCTGCTTTCCCTCATTACATAATAGTTGAAGGTTTTTCACTTAAACTTCTGTAAAATTAAGATAAATTTTGATAAACCTACCTGCATTACTTCAGAAAGGAATTGCATGTATTAATTTGTGTTCAGGAAAGAGAATAAAGTATTTTATGCCGTAAGTTTCCAGGGCAAGTCAAATGAGAACTGAGAATTAGTCTCAAGTAGCCTTGATATAAACAGTTGAGTCTGTCTCTAAGCAAATATTTATAGTTTCAATTACTATGGTTTGATCATCAGTAAAGTGTCTTAATTTACTCCTATTTTTTTTATTCCTTCATTTTTAAAGTTCAATTTTGAGAGAAGTCAGCTATTATTATTATTGAAAAAAGAAAAACCTTTATGTAATAACTGTTATCTGGTTTAGCTGCTTTTAAGAATTTCTCTTTTGTTTACCAGAGTGTAATCACTACTGGATGTGACATCTTTGATTTACTGAACTTCTTAGTTTACATATGTGTAGGTTAAAGGTTTTTGTTTTGTTTTGAAATTTGAAAGGGATTTTCTATGCTACCCTTTTTTCTTTTTCTTTTTCTTTTTCCTTTTTTTTTTGGTACCAGGGATTAAACCCAGGAACACTCACATCTGAGCCACATCCTGGCCAGCCCTTGTTTTCTGTTTTTATTTAGAGACAGGGTCTCACTGAATTTCTTGGGGCCTTGCTAACTTGCTGAAGCTGGCTTTCATTTTCATCTTGCAGTCTTCCTGCATCAGCCTCCTAAGCTGCTGGAATTACAGGCGTGGGCCACCATGCCCAGCATGAGCCATACTTTTTTAAACATTGTTTTAAATCAGTCCATAATGTGTGTGTGTATATATATATATATATATATATATATATATATATATTTTTTTTTTTTTTTTTTTTTTTTTAAACAACTCATTTTTTTTTCTACTGTTTGTAGTGTAATGTGTAAATAGTGTTATTTCTTTCAGTGTTCAAGCTGACTAAATTTGAGTTCACTTTAATTTCTTTTTAAAAATAGTTCCTTACATAAGAATGTCATATCAAGGAAAGAATATTCAAGGCAAGACAAGTTTTCACTGAAATACATTTTTAGTTGTGCTCCTGTAGGAATTTTGGGTTTTGCTTGTTTTTTTACTTTATGAGAAAAGAAGCACTAATGTATAGGTACTAAACAGTAGGACAGACTAAGCTTCAGAGCTTCAGGAGAGAGAAATTAGATAATTAACTATTTTCCTGGGGTGGGTGGTAGTAAATAAACCTTAATAACTTCTTAATCCTTAGCAAAAATATGATTTTCAGAGATAATTTAAATAAAATGAGGAGACAATCCCTGTCATTCATTAGAAGACTGAAATGGAAAATATTTAATGGTTGGGATATTAACTTAGAAAATATGCAGTTTGAATGCAAATCCAACATTTTTTTTTTTAATTTCAGTAAAATTGTGATTTATTTTCTACGGAAGCAGAGAAGTGATGTAATCACCCAGTAAAGTTAAATTTAACCCAGTAAAGCTTACTTCTAAAGACAATCCTCCATCTACTTCCCCTTACTTAGCAGCTTATTAACTCTACAGAGATTCACACACCACCCCAAGTTTTATCTCACATATCTCAACAGTGAGATGGAATATTTAGAAAACTAAAGTAGTTATTAAATGTCATGTACAGGTAGTTGTTATAAGCCACTTTAATTTCTAGAACTAACATCTCTTTTGTAATGGCCTACCTCTAAATTTCTAGTTTTTGCTTTCTATATTTTTTTTAAAAGACAGTTTTTTTTTAGAAATTAAAACATGTTAATTCAGCTTTATAAGAATTATTAAAATTATAATTTTTGAGTAGTAACTGGCCACCTCACAATTTTCTTTTTGGTCAAATATATGTAGAATAATTTTATATTTAGTGGGCTATACCTTTTCAAAGTGAAATTTTTATTGTGAATTTTATTTTTTCTCTTAGAATAGCTTTGGTCATCCTCAGGTAAGTTTTATATTTGAAATATGTTTACATACTAAAAAGGAACTTACCAGAAAGATCTCTACTTCAGGCTATTGGTTACATATTTGGCATTTTTTCAGGTCCCCAAATTATTAGATACTTTTGATTTGCAAAAGATATTTTCCAATTACTTGGAAACTTTTTAACATTTATAAGCACATCCATCCATCTTGACCTTGTAAATATAAGAAATTTGATTTTGTAGTACCTGTTACAGTCATTGTTTATAAAGTTTGAAAGAAAGACCAGCTTCATATGCATTAATATTATTCAGAAATGAGATATCTGGAGAAATCAGATTTATTTTGGCTATCTCACTTTGGAATTTCAGATCTTCTTTGAGAAAAATAACTTTAGTTGATTGCATAAATATATTTAACTTAGAAAAAGTAAAAACCTGGTACATATCAATCATAATTAGGATGTGATTCTTGTTTTCTGCCCTCAAATTATTTTTATAAAACATAGTAATAATACTATTTGCATTTTGATAGTTTACAAGTTTAGGGTTGAGGGATACCTAAAGGTTTTATTTGTAATATGTTTAATTTGTAATCAGAAAGGCTGATTTTTTTTTTTTTTTTTAACTTCAAGAAAAGTTATTCTCCCTCACTTACCTACTGTTAGTCTTTGCTTCTTGTTGTATACATGTTGTTAAAACTGTATGCTGTTTTCCTTTCTTATACTGCTATTTCCTCAAAAATAACTTGGTTATATTTTAATTTATATGTACTTTCTGACCTTGAGTCTCAAAAGAATAAAGTCTTTTTTTTCCTTCATGTTTGCTCTAGTTTGACCTTCTCCAATTTCCTTCAAAATTTTTACCTTGCGATTTTACCACATCCACTAAATCAGTCATTATATTTTCCCCAAAGAACAATGATTAGTTTACTAAATTGTCTTGAACCTATAACCTATTCTAGTCACACTTCTTTTTTCTTCTTTTTAGAACTAGAATTGTGGGAGTGGAGGTATGATCAGAAGTAGAATATTTGACCAGTTTGGAAGAAGCTCTGGGTTCCTTTCCTAGTCTTGGAGGGAAATATGTATATAATCTCCTGGGGAAAAAATTATAAAATTAGACTTAAAAAATTTACACCTTACCTTTTTTAATAACCTCCATATGGCTTCTGTATGCCACTTGTCTTCAAGAACATTGTGATGCCTGGTCATTTACAGTTTCCTTAATTTGTATATTCTTCTTTGATTTGTATTTGTGCTCTGTTATTACGTAGGTTTAAATAGGACTTCAAGCTTTCTAACTTCTTTCCGGCCCTTCTGTCAACCTCTCCAGCTCTCTCTTCGTGGGTTCCTTTGTGAATTTTCTTTTCCTTCTTTTAAATTATAAGATTTCTAGGACTCTGATGTTGGCCCAGTTCTTTTTTATACTGTAGTATTTTACGAAACATTTTGTCCATAACTCCACATCTGTGTCTACTTCCAGTCTCACATGGCTAGGAGGTGGCTTCATATCTCAGTCTTTCATCTATTATGTTCATTTTATTCCTATGATTCCAGGTGAGGTCATTTATCTCAGATGTATTATCTCTATTTGGATTCAGATCTCATCATCTGTTACATCATTGCAGTAGATTCACAGGTCATGTCAATTCATATGACCTTTTCTAAGTCAGCAGGATGGTATAGCAAACATCATGATGAAATTGGAAGTTTTCAAGCCTCTTTAAGAATCCCTAGTAACAGAATATGTTTAAATTGATAAGTTAACCTAGTTGCATACCTGCAGATTATGACTTTAAGTAGATTGAGAAATCTCCATCCTTCCAGGATTCAGTATTTCTGCCTGTTCCACAAAGCCCTCTGTGACTTCACTTTCATTTCATAGTTGGCTACACTTCTCACTCACATATTGCATTGCAGCAGTATTGAAGAACACATTTTTAAAAATCATTATGCTATTTCAGTAATATTTTTAAATCCCTGCTGTATTCTTTGTAAATGTTATTCTCTTGAAATGTGAGTGAGGTATTTTTTCTTTTGTTTCTTTGATAGCACAAAACATGGTTTTGCCAAATTATTCCAAACTCTACTATGGTAATCCTATTTTTAGAGAATTTTCTAAATTACAGGTTTTTAAAGTTCTTTATTTTTTTCAATGACATGAGTAAGTCAGTTTGAAGAAGAATAATGTTCTACTTCAGTTTAACAGAGTTTGCACTAGAGAGTACAATTTCAGCATAAACATATACACATTAAATTTTAAATTGTACAAAAAAATTTAACTAGTGTATTCCTAAGTGATATTTCAGTATTGTTACCAAATGTGTGCTAAAATGGGGTTTGCAAATATAAGTATTGTTAGTGTGTCAGAAAATCCACCACCACCAAATCTTAATTTTTTAGTGGCTCAGTATTTTTAGGTCTTTTTTTTTTTTTTTTTTTTTTTGCATTTAAACTGAAGTAGTTAGATTTTATCATATTAGTAGGGAAAAAAATTAGTAAGGAAAAAAATTCAATATATTGTTTGCATGTGGTCTTTTATTCCTAATGAGTAAGAAATTTAAAATTAAGTGTCACTGTAGTTATGCTTTTCAGAGTTAATTTTTTCAGAATAAGTTCATCTGTAATGTAAGCTATGTAAGAATTTTGATAATAGAATTTAGTTGTGCTTCTTAAGATAGTGATGGGGGAGCTATGATATAGGCGGAGCTGCCATATACCTCAGCAGCAGAGTTGTGCCTTGCACTCGCAGAGCCCTAGGTTCATTTAGCAATTCAAAAAAAAAAAAAAGAAAGAACGAACCCCTCTCCCAAAAAAGACCATGATGGGGAATTTGTAAGAATATTTCAGCTTGCAAAATTTGTCTTCTGTGTTCATAAGCCACTGTTAAAAATAAGACTGAATTTAAATCTTTGCTATCACCACAGCTTTAGTTCAGTCATTATAGATACATTCTTCAGTTCATACCTGGCAATGTATCTTTCTGATAATCATATTTTGATTTTTAAATGTTTTGTTGTATTCAGAAGTAGTGAATGTATAAGATGGTACTGTGTTTACTAAGGTTTGTGAATTCCAGAAGTTTGATTTATAAGAAATACTTTTAATATTTTATTCCACTCCTAGAAGTCATTTAAAATGTATTCATTATATGTTCTTTTGTATAACCCTGAGGGTCTCCAAAAGAACATACAATGAATACATTTTAAATGACTTCTAGGAGTGGAATAAAATATTAAAAGTATACAAGAGGAAATGAGGGGAAAGGGAAAAATAATACAAGGGGGAGAAATGAAGGTCAATAGAGGGGGTAGAGAGAGAAGAGGGGTGGGGAGGGGAGGGGAGGGGGGATAGTAGAGGATAGGAAAGGTAGCAGAACATGACAGTCACTAGTATGGCAATATGTAAATCAATGGATGTGTAATTGATGTGATTCTGCAATCTGTATATGGGCTAAAAATGGGAGTTCATAACCCACTTGAAGCAAAGTGTGAAAGATGATATATCAAGAACTATGTAATATTTAGAACAACCAACAATTAAAAAAAAAAAATTGCTCGGGGAAAAAAAAAAAATGTATTCATTGCATCTAATACTTGTCTAGCTAAAATCATTTAAGCTTATGTGAATCAGATTATATTTTATTTGTACAAAAATGGCAATATTTTATGTAAACATATTGTTAATTTTTTGTGATATATTTTTCCCTCTGTAGTGGATGATGCTGGCAAAATAGAACATAATGGTTCCACTGCTGTGAATACCAGTGCAGAGTCAGATATTGATTCTTGTAAAGTAGAAGGCACTTGCCCTGAAGTCATCAAGGTATACATTTTTAAAGCTGACCCTGGTGAGGATGACTTAGGTAAGAGGAAGGCTTCAGATTCTTCAGCGTAATGGTTTTATTTAAAACTAAGGCAATTTGAAGTATCTTTTTTGAAGATACTTTTAAGACTTTTTCCCCACATTTTTTATTGGTGCTTTATATTATATATATTGATAGAATATTTTGTTAAATATTCATACCTGCACACAATTTAAAACTGTAATTTGGCCAGTATCACTCACCAGCATTTTCCCCCTCTCACTCCATGTGCTACTCAGTGATCACTGTCTCTACTGATTTCCTTTGATTTTTATGAGATGTATCCTCACTTTTTTTTCCTTAGTCATCTGTAGCTTCTGCATATATGACCCTTAACCTTCTGAGTTGGACTTATTTCACGTAATGTATTGGTCTCAGGTTCCATCCATTTTCCTACAAATGTCGTAGTTCATTTTCCTTTGTGGCTAAGTAAAAAGCCATTGTGTATGCATATCACTTTTTCTTTATTCACCCATCTCTTATTGGATACCTGGATGAGCACTCTACCAACTAAGCCACAATCCCAGTCCCTTCATGTGATTTGATTTGCATTTTCCTATTTGCTAATGTTATTGAAATTTTTAAAATATATTTGTTGGTTAATTTGTATTTCTTCTCTTGAGAGGTGTCTGTTTAATTTATTTGCCTATATACTAATTAGATTATTTTATCTAGTTTTTTGGTGTAAAGCTTTTTGAGTCAGTATACTGTGGTAATCCTCTGTCAAAAGAATAGTTTGCAAAGATTTTTTTTTTCCCATGCTTTAAGTTCTCTCTTCACATTCCTAATTGTTTCCTTTGCTATGAAGAAGCATTTTAATTTGATATCATACCATTTATTATTTTTTGAGCTTTAAGATTCCTATTGAGAAAGTCATTGTTCTTAAAAACTGAAGTTTTGACTTACATTTTCTTGTAGCAGTTAAATAGTTTTTGTCTAATTCTGAGCTCTTTCATCCATTTTGATTAGTTTTCTCTGCAAGTTGAGAGATCAGGATCTACTTTCATTCTTCTACGTAGGGATAAATCAGTTGTCCCATCACCAGACATCAAACAGGATGTCTTTTCTCCTGTGTATATATCTGATACCTTTGTCAAGGATCAGATGACTTTTGATGGGTGTGTTTGTCTCTGTATTTTCTGTTCTGTGCCAGTGCTCTTTGTCTTTTTTTTAATGCCAGTACCAAACAACTTTTAGCAGTGTAATTAACTCTGTAGCATAACTAGAAGTCCGGTATTATGATGCTTCCAGCATTGCTTTTTTGGTTTAAAATTGCTCTAACTATTCTTTATTTTAAGAGTGGGTGTTTGTTTTTTTTTTTTTAGTTCTATGAAAAATGTTAAGATATATATTTTAATGTTACATAAAAATATAAAAAAGAGCCTGTTCAAATGAGGATTCAAATAAATTCTTGGAGCTGTCTTTATCTTAATAGGTGGAACAGTAGACATTGTGGAGAGTGAGCCTGAAAACGATCATGGAGTTGAACTTCTTGATCAGAACAGCACTATTCGTGTTCCTAGGGAAAAGATGGTTTATATGACTGTCAATGACTCCCAACAAGAAGATGAAGATTTAAGTAAGCAGGTGGCCTTTTTGTGGGAAGTAATTTTATGTTTCTAAAGTTTTTTTTTGTTTTTTGTTTTTAATGCAACCAGTATTTGGTCAGCAATACTTAAAGAAATTTATTATGCTAACATTATCCCAAACATCATATTAGTGTTTCTTAATGTATGCTTAGATTGTTGCTTTAAATAAAATACTGTGAAATCCAAGGAATGTTCAATCAATATTTGTTGAATATTCACTGCTGTATTTAAACTGCTAGTATATTGTTCGTGTATGAGTTGAAACTCATAAAACATTTTTATTAATTTGTATTTAGATGTTGCTGAGATCACTGATGAGGTTTATATGGAAGTGATTGTAGGAGAAGAAGATGCTGCTGTTACAGCAGCAGCTGCTGCTGTGCATGAACAGCAGATAGATGACAGTGAAATGAAAGCCTTCATGCCAATTGCATGGGCAGCAGCTTATGGTAAGGAATGAATGATTCTTTAATGTTTGTACAATGAAAAATGGATTCTGTGGTTAAGATTTCAGAAATATGAATTAATGGTATTATGATTTCATGCATATGAAAATAAGTCTATAACTTTTAGATTGCTTTATTTTATATGGCTTATTATTTCATAATTTGGAAGACAACAGAGGGAGTCTGTTGGAAAAATGCTGTGGTCTTGCTTAAAACTCGGCCATAAAACTTATTTCCTGAAATGGCGAATCTCTTTAATTCTTAAGCATCATGACTTAATTTTCATTGTAGTTAAATCATTTTTTTTTTCGAAATTCTTTGTAGTTCACAGTACTTTATAATGTTGTTTTTTAATGCTCATTGTTAGGTAATAATTCTGATGGAATTGAAAACCGGAATGGCACAGCAAGTGCCCTCTTGCACATAGATGAGTCTGCTGGCCTTAGCAGACTAGCTAAACAAAAACCAAAGAAAAGGAGAAGACCTGATTCCAAGCAGTACCAAACAGGTGGGAGCACATGAATTCCACAGTACAAACTCTGCTGGGCAGCTCTCAGAGGAAAATAGTATTTATCCACAGGAGTGTCATAATGCCATATTAGCTGCTCAGCTACATGTAGCTATTGTGTATTGAATTTGAAAATATAATTTCAAAACTCAAATTATTTTCATGAATTTTTCCTTAGATAAAAGAACAGTCTGTGGACCAGATATCAAGGAAAATTAATTAGAGTTTCAGGCGATTTACCATAAATGAAAATAAATCATAACTATGTTAGTTAACATTAAGTGAACAAATATGAATTATAGTCAGCTTAAAGGAGTAGGGAAGATGTCAACCTCTTTGCTATTCTTTGCTATATTATTTTGTTTACCAATTTTAATGTTTAAAGAAAAGTTTTTGTTTTTATTTAACAGGAACATATTGCCCTTTATTTGCGTTTCTCAGAATACTGTACAAAGGGAGTAAAAATCCTATTCACACTTTGCTTAGAAAGATTTAAGGTGAAAGTTCCCTGTGATGTGTGGGGTGAGAATGGGCTAGGAGGCAGAAAACAGAATGAGTGAACTCTCCTCCTCCCTCAGGCCCCCCAGCAGAGGGCTTGGGCACTCACACCTTTTCAATGTAACATGCTCCCAGTAGGACTGGGGAGAGGAGAAGGTGCCTCCTCTCTAGCCAGCCCCTCCTGTCTCCCTCCTTGGACTAAGACAGTGGCTACAGCCACCACCCTGCCTGACCCTTTAGCCCACCACCAAGTAGAGGTGGTTTCAGAACCCCATGTGTACCTTCCCTCAAAAGGTCCTGCCTGGCACCAGTCTGAACAGGGAGGTCATAAGGTGAGGGACTATGGAAGGGCCCCACTGTCCCCTGTTTTTGTTGCAGCTTCCTCACACCTTTGCACCACACAGAGGTCAGTGTCAAACTGTACCTGTGCTAACAGTGACATAGCCTCTTCCACCCAAGCCCGCCCCTCACACCAGTCCAGGAGTTTCAAACCCACAGCCACTTCCCTTACCCCAAGACCATTCTCTGGGTGAGAAGGAAGTGGGACTAGCTTCTTCCCACTCCCCTTTTACAACACATGCCCACTTGCTGAGGCCCATTCTTTTAAGACTCGGCTTACTACCCCCACCCTTACCCACCACTGCCCTCTCTCCAACTCCACTGGGATGAGATGGCAGGGCCCTGGCCCTTTGCCTCCAGAACCAGGCGATGTATGCCCCCACCACCACCTCCCCTATCACACTCCCCATTCCCACCCAGCACCCAGAGTGGGGTGCAGGGGAGCCACCAAAAGCCTGGGACTAGGATCAGACAGCTCTTTACCCAGAGGGGTGAGGTACTGTCACACACTTGTTTCCATAAGTACAAAAATACATTGTCGTCCTATAGCCTGAAGAACCAAAACGAAACAATCCAGAAGCTGTACCTTCCTCTGCTCCCTCACAGGCATTAAAGTGCTTTGGCTGCCTGAGGGTAAACAAGCAAACAGGGATTTCTCCCTTGCCTCCTGTCCCAACCCCGGAGATCTAGGTCCATGTTCAGCCCGGGAGCCCAGCACCTTCCATGACCACCCCATGGAGTCTATTCAAAAGGCAAAAGGAAAGAATCAAAAAAAATCAGAATGAGTAGAGCCCAGGGTCCCACCCCAACCCACTACAAGCTACTCCAAGTCAGCTACTGGGGAATCAAGGGGGAACTAGGCCCAGAGGAGTGATCCCCATCTCCGTCAGAGTCCAGAGGCTCCTTGTCTTCAGCATCACAGCAAACACCTGCCACCCCATGCTGGGGAAGGGGCTGCAGCCTCCGTACTTGTTGATGCCAAAAATGTGGACTCCATTGAGCTGGGGCAGCTTAGGGATGACAATGCTCATCAGAGACACAGTATTGAGGATAAAATGGATCTGTCGTACTTGGTGTAGAAGGTGGTTAGGAAGTACAGCACAATGGGTGTGATGGTGAAGAACTTCCGAGAAGCTGTGAACTGGACCCCATAATCCATCTGCTCCCAGTGGGTCAACAGCCTCACTTTGCCCTGGTCTGGGGTCTCGAAGGGTGTCCCTTTCACTGTGTGCAGGAAGATGTACATGCCCATGTTGTGGATGAGGTTGGTGAGGGTCCAGACAACAGGTACTCTCACGAAGAGGATGCTCAGCAGCACGACATGAAGAAGCCCAATGGCGAGCACATAGGAGAGCCAGATGCCACGGCTGTTCATCACCTGCATATTGGGGTTCACTTTGATGTGTGCTGTGCCTACATTCATCCTGACACCCCTCTCCACTGCTGCTCGTGCGGAGCGGGAGGTTGAGGGCCCAGGAGGGGTGCCCGGGAACAGGGGCTGCAGCTGCTTTAGCAGCTGTAATAAACAGCGGCGGCAGCACCCCACTGGCAGCTCCAGAGGAATCAGCCTAAAGAAAAGTTTTAAAGATTGGTTACTGGCAGCCACTCATGAGGTTGAGGTAGGAGGATCACAAGTTCAAGGTCTTTGCTGTTTAACTTTGCTATTTAACAAAACATTATCTCAAAAAGAGCTGGGGATATGTCTCTGTGATTAACTATTTCTGGTTTTAATCACCTATTGTAATAAATTTAAAAATGCTAAACTTTATTCATGAATGACTTTTTTAACATATTTCTTTATAAGTTGATGTAGTTTTATCACTACTTAATTTATTTGTTCGTTTTTTAAACTGGAAGGATTAGGATTAGTATGGTCATAGAGAAGCAAACCACATTCTCATTATTGTAAGGTTGTAATGTTTCTAATGTAGAAAAGCAATGAAAGAAATGTCCGTAAGTGTAGGAGTCCATGCCCAGTAATATTCAGAAAACACTTAATGTTTTGAAGAAAATACAACAGATAGATTTTGATCTCTTATGTTCTTTTATTTTATTTTTTTTCCTTAGCAATAATTATTGGTCCTGATGGACATCCCTTGACTGTCTACCCTTGCATGATTTGTGGGAAGAAGTTTAAATCAAGAGGTTTTTTGAAAAGACACATGAAAAACCATCCTGAACACATTGCCAAGAAGAAGTATTGCTGTACTGACTGTGATTACACTACCAACAAAAAGATAAGTTTACATAATCACTTGGAAAGCCACAAATTGACCAGCAAGGTAGAGAAAGTCATTGAGTGTGATGAGTGTGGAAAGCATTTCTCTCACACTGGGGCTTTGTTTACTCACAAAATGGTGCATAAGGAAAAAGGAAACAACAAAATGCATAAGTGTAAATTCTGTGAATATGAGACAGCTGAACAAGGGTTATTGAACCGTCATCTTTTGGCAGTCCACAGCAAGAGTTTTCCTCATATTTGTGTGGAATGCGGTAAAGGTTTTCGTCACCCATCAGAGCTCAAAAAACATATGCGGATTCATACTGGGGAGAAACCATACCAATGCCAATATTGTGAATATAGATCTGCAGACTCTTCTAACTTAAAAACGCACGTAAAAACTAAACATAGTAAAGAGATGCCGTTCAAGTGTGATATTTGTCTTCTGACTTTCTCAGATACCAAAGAGGTGCAGCAACATGCTCTTATCCATCAAGAAAGCAAAACACACCAATGTTTGCATTGTGACCACAAGAGTTCAAATTCAAGTGATTTGAAGCGACACATAATTTCAGTTCACACAAAGGACTATCCCCATAAGTGTGACATGTGTGATAAAGGCTTTCACAGGCCTTCAGAACTCAAGAAACATGTGGCTGCCCACAAGGGTAAAAAAATGCACCAGTGTAGACATTGTGACTTTAAAATTGCAGATCCATTTGTACTAAGTCGCCATATTCTGTCAGTTCATACAAAGGACCTTCCATTTAGGTGTAAGAGATGTAGAAAGGGATTTAGGCAACAGAATGAGCTTAAAAAGCATATGAAGACACACAGTGGCCGGAAAGTCTATCAGTGTGAGTACTGTGAGTATAGCACTACGGATGCCTCAGGCTTTAAACGACATGTTATTTCCATTCATACAAAAGACTATCCTCATCGTTGTGAGTACTGCAAGAAAGGTTTCCGAAGACCTTCGGAAAAGAACCAGCACATAATGCGACATCACAAAGAAGTTAGCCTGTCCTAATAAGTTCACGGACTTTGTACAGATGTTGGTCTTGTAACAGGAAAACCATTTTAAAGTCTATCATTCTTGTTCTCATACAATACCGTATACATTGATTTATGCTATGTACAAACATGATTTTTGCTTCTATTTTTCCTTGCATTTTATTCATTAGAGTGTTCTGAATTCTATTCAGTTTATTTAATAAATGAGGAAAGGTGGCAACAATCAAGTTGCTTTTTAAAAAGTGATCCTTAATTTTATACTGATTTTCAGTATTCAAATATTTACTGTTCATTTGTTTACCTTATTTACTGTGAAGGTACTCTGCTAAGACAAAATAATTTAAGATGGTAACTCTAAATGTAATAGTCATTTTGACTCATTGGTTTTCACACATATTTTTCACATTAGAGACATCTGTTGATGAAAGTGGGAGATTCTATTCTATTATCCTTTCTTAGTGTGATATGGAAATCATTTCAGATTACTTGACAATGAAACATTTTATTTGAGCTGCTAGCATTGCTGATTGTGGAACACTGATTTAGGTTTGTTTAATTTTTATTTTGCTTAGTAGGCAGAAAGTGCTTCCCAAGAAACCTTTGACCTTTTTTTTCCATAATGTTTATATCTTTTTTGCAGCATAAAGAAGTTTTGGAAAAAATCTTACAAAAGAATTTTACATAGCCTTGTTAACTTGTTTTTCTTCTTGCTATTTTGTTTTGAAATGGTCATGTTCTACAAATGAGACTTGGTGCAGCCTGAATTGTGCAGTATTTTAGAGGTAAATTGTGGCCCTTACAATTTTTTGCAACTTGGTGTATAATGTACCCTAAATTTTAGATACGTATTGCTTTTATGCAAAAATTCCCAAATTTACATCTGTGATGAAAACTGCTAAATTTATAATAACATGAAAGATTTAGGGATGTATTGAGATCATTTTTAAATCTTGCTATTCAGAGAAACTAAATTTGGTTAAAGAATTAGAAGGGAAAAATAAGAACATTAGTAAAAGTGAAGGTATTTATTTAACTTCAGTAATCAAAAAATGGAAGTTAAGGTTTTTTTAGATAGAGTATTTTCAAAGTTTAAATTTCAGACTTAAATTTTTTCTCAAAGGTTAATCCAGATATATGTATTTTAGTTTTTTTCTCACAATCCCTTGAGGGAACTATCTTTGCAAGGAAAGTAGGACCAAGAGGAAGTAGTGTAAGAGAATGCTGATTACAACTTAAGAGTTTGCAAGTTCCTCCTGCTTTTTTATTTCTTGGTTGGCCATCTTGAAGATTTATAATATATGTTGACTTCAATGACTAGAAGATAAAAAGTATTTTAAGTATATATTGAAAATCTGTTGCCTTGCGATATCACCAGTTCTTTCAGGTTTGGTTTTTAGTTGATACATTTTTTTGGCAGTCAGTGACATTTATGCACATGTGTAATAATTAATTCTGTTAATTAGAATTTGGTTAATATGAATTTTGAAGAACAAAAGTAGTATGTAGGTTCCTTAAATCAGCTGTTGACACATTAGTGGCACCTTGTGGAAGACGAGAAGAAATTTTCCCCATTTGATAAGCTGCCTCCTGGCTTCATTATGGTGTTTCATTCCATTGTTACTTTCTGGATGTAACTTTCACCTTTCTTTGTCATTCTCACATTCAGAAATTACATCTATCGGATTATAAATGTTTGTTGTTTCAAATTCTTTAGTCCCCTAAGAATTTAAGCTTAATGCCAGCTGAAGCCATGAAATGGATTTTGAAATCTCTTATGCCTTCTTTCTTCTCTACATATAGTTCCACTCAATTTTAGTGTTAGCCATTATACTGGTTTTGAAAACCCTATTTTTTGGGGTATGTGAGAATCTTAACCTTTTAAATCTCCTTTGAATTTGACTTTCCTGAAATAATATAAAAGGAAATATTTAAATGAAAATTTAAACTTAGGAATTTAAAAACTTTCATAAAAAATTAATACAGATAACTAGGTTATTTATGTTTTTTAAATAAACTGAAAGATAAAGAACGCAACATTTTACATCATATTTCTCATATAATCTGGAGTCGTACATAGTTTTGTTTTTTAAAACACAATGTTGAAACCTTTAAAAGGTAATAATACTTTGTTCACGTGAATATGATAAAATATATTTGTATGAAGAAAACATGAAATTGTACTTACTGTTATATATTGTTATTAGTTACAGGCTGGTTTTAATTCTTAAATTTGATTAGCAAAGCTAAAAAAGTTGATGTTTCAGTTAAATGTTCTAAAATGGCACAAAGTTTTACAACAACATAAGTTATTGTTTCATAAAATTGCCTATTAAAAATTATTATATGTCTTCCTCAGTACACATTGTAAAATACTTAAGAAATTCATCAAAAGAAAATGTGACAATATTGTAAATGTGTACTTGAAAATAACAAGCAAATAAAAAGGAGAATATTTTCTTGTTAATAAATGTTTAGTGTATTTGATATCAGTACTAAACTAAAACTTTTTATTGAGGAAAATATGTGTGCAATTTTGGTAAGTTTAATCTTTTTCTGTTTACCAGTGGAATGCAGGATGTTTATTAATTGTTTTCAATTTTTTGTTACTTAGATACAAAACTGATGATCCTATTAATTTACAAGTGATATTTAGAGTGGTTAATAACTACTAAGCCATATGAGGAATTTGTTCTTAAAACTCATGTTTTAGCATCTCCCTTTTCTGAGATAAATTTTCCTCTTATTAAGAGGTTTTTGAGAACATTTGTAGTTTATTTCAGTATGAATGTAATTTGGTAATAAGACACTTGGTATAATTTTATGAATCTGTCGAATCAGTGATTATTACTAACATCTCTGTAGCAAAAAGACCCTGTTGTAGAATATCTCATTTGTGCCTTGTTCCTTTGTGCTCAATTTGTAGGCCTTTAGTAATATTTTAATGTGCTATATAAAAATATAATTTTAAATGCTTGTCATACTAAATATCAATATCTAGACTAGGAGTCAAAAACAAGCAAAAAAGATTGAGACACTTGGACTTATTTTTGAGGTAAAATTTATGTAACATAAAGTTAATATCTTAAAATACAGTCAGTGATATATTAAAAATATTCACAATGCTTTGCTACTGTCTCTTTAGTTTGGATGACACAAAGTAATTATTTTTTTTTTTTTACTCTAAAAGTAAAGATTGTATTACAATTCCTCTACTTTGTAGGAATAAATTTGCATAATAATTGAAATACTAACTTTAAATTGAATGGTAAGAGAACATAAATGTCTATGTTGGCAAGAGCAAGAAGTTAGAAAAGACCATGGTGATAATACATATTAATATACCTAACATTCTCAGTCTGATTTATGATTTCCAACTTATTTTGCCTGTTTCTTTTTTATCTTCTACAAATTTTAAGACTTGTATAAAAAAGACATATTATTGCTCAGTTTTTTAAAGTATAATTCTTGAAAGCAGTAACTTTTTGAAGTGGGAGCCAGAGATTGCCAATGTTACCGTGGTATTAAAATTTTTATAACCTAGAAACTAGTTCGGAGTATAAAATCTTGAACCTACCTACTCTATCCCTTCTGAATAAGAAATCACTGTAGGCCCAGAAATCTGGTTGGTTGTTTGGTTGATTGGTTGGTTTTACTATATCAAGAAAAGGGTGGTTGCAAAGGGAAGTTTAAACAATCATTTCCTCTTGTAGTACTGGGAATTGAACTTAGTTTCACACAAGCTAGGCTGGGGTGGCAGGTGTGCACCATCATGCCTAGCTAAAATTTACTATTTTAATCCTTCTTCAGTGCATACAATTTAGTAATTAAAGCATACTCATATCATTGTGAAACAAGATTTCCAGCAAAGCTGGAACTACACCCATAATAATAACTTATTACTGGAGTCCCCTCAGGTCCTGGTAACTTTCATCCAAGTAGAATCATGTAGTGGTTGTTTTTTTGTTTTGTTTTGTTTTTTCTTTATCTAGCTTATATCATTTAATATCCTTATTCCTGATATTAGTGAATAAGATTTCAGACTTTCATCATAAATTTGATACTAGGCAATGTTTTGTAAAAATGTGACTTTTGTTTTTTTGAAATTGCTTTTGACTTAGTGTTTTTATAGGGTGTTAAATCTTAACCGAAAACTTTTCCCATGTTAGTTTAGATGATCATGCCTTTCTTTTTTTGTTAATGTGTTATAAGATACTAAGGTTGATCTGTTCTTGAAGTTTGCTAATGTTTTGTTGAAATATTATTTACTTATTTGGTTGGTCATTTTTGTGGGGTGGGTTTTTGTTTGTTCAGTATAAGGATACATGACTGGTCTTTTGTGTGTGTGTGTCTCTTCCAGGTTTTAGTACAGGCTTCAGAATAAGAACTCAAGTGTGCCCTCTAATATTTTGGAATATTTTCAGAAGGATTCATGTTCATATTCTTTTTAAAAAATATTTGGTAGAAATCTCTAGCAAAGCCTGCTAATCCTGGATTTTTTTTTTTTTTTTTTTTGTAAGAGATCTGTGATTACTGATTGAACCTCTTAACTAAGTTTTAGCTTATCTTAATTCTCTATTTCTTCATTATTAGCTTTTGGTAGATTGTTTCTAGGAATTTATTCAGTCTGATTTATTTGTTACTCTTTGTTGTTCTACTTATGTGGTACTGGTAAAATGTTTAATTTTCTATTTTAATTTTGTCTTTGTCTTTTCTGGAATTTTTTTTAAAAAAACTAATCTACACATTTAAAAGTTGATTTAAATAAGAATTTTTCATTTTTGAAAAATATTTTTAGTAAATGAACTACATTTTCTTGCTTTTTCTGCTTTTATCTTTGATCTTTATTTTATCTTCCTTTCTGCTAGTTTGAGTTTATTTCTTGTTCTAGTTCTTTGAGGTGTAAATTAAATTAGATTGTTGGTTTCTGCACTTTCTTGTGGATTTACGTATTTGCATATAAACTTGATCTGTATGCTGCTTTTCAAGTGTTATGTGACCTGTGTTTTGTTTTTATTTGTCCCAAGGTGTTACTAATTTTGCTGTGATTCTTTGCTTGGTGTTGTTTTTACAGTGGTATATATCAAACCCACGGCCTTCTGATATATGTTAGACATTTATAACTAGCACAGAGCTATCCTCCAAGCCTTACTCCGGCTTCTGAAGCGCATTGATTATGTAAGGTGTACTCTTCAGTACATTTATTTAACATACTGTGGACTTTCTGTTACAGTTTCTAGTTGCGTTTTTTATTTCTTTATTTAATTTGGTAAGACACTTAATTACGACTCGTTTGGGACCAAATATGTTGTCCAAAAAATGTTCCATGTGTACTTTAGAAAAACATTTTGTGGATAACGCTGTGTGAAATGTTTTCTTTACATATGTCTTATATCCAACTGGTTTCTAGTATATTTGATGTCTTTTGTTTCTTCAGATCTTCTTTCTGGCTTTTGTATATATTCTTGAAATGGACTACTGAACTTCACTACTGTGTGTGCGTGTGTGTGTGTGTGTTGGTGTGTGTTGCTAGGGACTAAACCCAGGACCTTGTGCATACAAGCACTTACTAACTGAACTATGTAACCCAGCCTCCAAGTATGCTCTTTGATTGTGTTGCTATTTCTTCAATTCTTCAGGTGATGATTGTAGGAGTACGTTGTTTTGTTTTAGCAAGTACTCCAGATGGAACCAGGGACATACTACCATTCATCGACATCCTCAACTTTCTTTTTTCCCCTTTTTTCTTTTCCTGTACTTGGTATTGAGTCTAGAGGTATTTAACCTCTGAGCCACATCTTCATCCATTTTTGTTTTGTATTTGAGACAGGGTCTAACGGAGTTGCTAAGGCCCCTGCTGAGTTGCTGAGACTGACCTTGTACTTATCCTCCTGCCTCAGTCTCCCAGATTGCTGGTTATTATATATGTATGCCACCATGCCTACCTCTCTTATAATTCTCTTAATATTTTTTCATGTCTTTAGGAGCTCTTACATTTGATGCAAAATATTTTTAATTTTTTATCTGATTGGAAAATATTTTTATTATATAATGTTCATTCTCATAATGTTTTTTTTTTTGTGTGTGTGTGTGTGTGCACTCTATTTTGTCTATTGTTATCATTCCTGCTCTTTTGGTTATGTTTTGCAAGGATTGTCTCTTTCACTTTTTTATTTTTAGTTTGTATATTTCCATAAATGTGATGATTATCTTGTGGTCACCATATAGTTAAACTCTATTGTCATTCATGCAGTCTCTTTATTTGTGTGTTTGTGTGTGTAGTGACATGCTTTATTATTATTGTGTATATTGAGTATTTTCTTTGTGAATGAAATTTGTTTTGTTTTTATTTTGGCACTGGAGATTTAACCCAGGGGTACTTAACTACTGAACCACATTTCCAGCCCTTTTTTTTGGTATTTTATTTAGTGACAGAGTCTCCTGAGTTGCTTAGTGCCTGGCTAAGTTGCTGAGTCTGGGTTTGAACTCAAGATCTTCCTTCCTCAGCCTCCCAAGTTGCTTTCATTATAGACATGTGCCACCATGCCAGGTATGAATGAAGCATTTCAAGTTTTATAACATTCTACTTTAAACTAATACAACTTAACTTCAGTTAAATATAAAATCTGTAATCTTCATCAACCTTCCCACTTCATTATCTATTGCATTACCTTCATATATTTTTTTACCAATTAGCTGAAACTTTTACTTTTTCTTGCCTAAATCTTATATTAAAATTACCAGTTTTAAGCACAAAATTATATTATGTCTAATCATTGTTTTCTATATTTTTACTTTTACAGGAGCTCTATTTTGTTTTGTTTTTGTGGTGATCAGGATCTAACTTAGGGGAAATAAAAAGATCTCACCTGGGTCAAAGTAAATAGGAGGCAAGTTCTCTTCCTGTGAAATATATTCATAGCCCTTTACTAGATATCTTTATATCTTCATAGGATTTCCTGTTGCTATCTGTTGTTCTTTGATTTCAACTTCTATCAGTTATTGTGAAGCAGATATTATGGTAATACACTTGCTCAACTTTTGTTAAGCTGGAAAAGTATTTCACATTTTTTATTAAAGATGAATTTTTCTAGGTTTTTTGTTTTGTTTTGTTTTTTGGACACACGGTGCATGTGTGTGAGAGATTGCATTAGCTAGGACTTCCAGGGTGATGTTCATAAAGGACATACTTTATGAGAGGCAGATTTGCCTTGTTTCTAATATTAGTGGGAATGCTTCAGATTTTGCACCATTAAGTATCGTATTCCCTATCAATTTAAAGAAGCTTTTCTCTATTTCTTGTTTACTGAGAATTTCTATCATGAAGGATTCTTAGATTTTTGTCAGATGCTTTTTCTGACGTTGAACCAATCTGCATACCTGTGATTAATCTCACTTGGTCATTGTGTGTAATTTTTTTAGTTCTTTGAATTCAACTTGCTAATATTTTCCTGAGGATTTTGTATATGTT